TACGATAAAAAATTCCCTTTACGACACTGTGAAATCTTTCGTTTTTATGCAGACAAATATAGTTTTCTTAACAAATAAAATCAAATTATTAAAGTTTTTATACATGTGCTTTTGAACACACTACATAGTCATAATTCAAGACAATTAAAATTAAAATGCAAAAATATAGAGAATATAGCGAAATATCTTTTCTTGTAATATTTTTGTTTTACTCGGTAATTATGAATTATGAATACATTTCGTTATTAATTATTCCTAATATATTTCTGTTTTTTTAGTCAAAATCTGTTGTTTTCCTCCAAAAGAAAAGATTAACGGAAAGTCGTTATCGACATTGTGTACAGAACTAAACCTAGATTTCAATTTGTTAGAGGAATGTCTGTGTTCTATCTGTTATATCATAGTCCAGCGTTGATATTATCAATATTTTTCCGAAACAAACAGAAAGGTACATTGTGTCGTTAATTTATTCGCTATATAGATTACTCACCTGTCATCATTGGCATTGACCATTCAGTATCAGTGTATCGTCCATCATATATAAAAGCTCTTACCTTAACTCTGTAATAAATAAGTATTGCATACACAATGCACATTTTAATACATGATGTTGACCAATGCGAGATGTAGCTGCACCATAAAATTATATGTAATTCCAATAATATTGTCATCAAATCATTCGTTCTGTGAAAACCAATTGTTAACTATTCGCTATTTTGGACGATATTCTATGTAAGGATTTAGGTAGCTACGTCGCTGTGGGTGAAGATTTCAAATTCATTTGAATTTGCTGGAAGTTTGGACTAATTTTAAAAATATACTAGACTGTTCCATGCACTGTCTAAGGCACTATTCTACAATGTATTGCAAATCCACATAATTTCCATGCTACTTACATGTATTGAGTGAGTGGTTGTAATGGTCCATTGCAGTATTTATCAGTATCCATGCTACAATCCTCGGATCCAATCACGTATACATCCGGCGAGGCGGTGCCGGCGAGATCGTTTTTCACAAACAGATTGAATTGTTCATTTGTCTGCCAGATTTGCCGTGGTGTTTGATCTTTGACCTCTCTCCAACCTTGTGGAACCCCTGGTGCCACTCTAGTCGTGACTATGAAAAAGAAATGAGAACGGTTACAAAATTACATACTTGCCAGTTGAACAATAGTTATAAAACATTTCTCTCTATTCTAGACACTTGTAGATAGACTAAATCACATACATCTGAATAATTACAATAAACAAAACACCATAAGTACATGTCTGAACAAGGGCGTTAGGCAAACGTGTCTGATCAGTGATACATTCTGTTTTGAAAGATTTAAAAAAATAATATTCGTATTAAATACATACACAAACTAGATACTGTGCCTTTATATCTATATTTAATTTCCTTACCGATTTGACACACAATAGATAAATTGAAAAAGTCGTAATCAATAGCGACGTACATGAGTTGAAACAAATATTTAACAGCGCCGCCATCGATAAATGATAAATTCCGCTAAACTATAAAATAGACGGGGTGTGACACAGCGCATTTCATTTTAGGACACACCACGTACCAGACTCCTCGTTCGCGAACATTATTTGTGGTGTTCGTAGCAGACGGCCCAGTGCCAAATAACCACATCATCATTATTTTAGTGTGAAATGGGACGTAACTTAATGTATTTGGGATCACTTCAAAATGACATATTTAGCTTCCCATTGTATTTGAAATGCATGAAATGCACAAAGTATGCCTCACTCCAGCACTCCAAAAGTAACGTACATTCAATTAGGGGTATTACGTATCATATGGCTAACTTAATTGAATCGGATTTTGATGCAACTTAGCCCAGTTTTTAACCCCGATAATGAAATAACATATATGGGAAATTACTTTTCAAATACGAAATAACTTACTGGAAAACGCTTTTGTATCTCGGTATTGTGTTTGTATAGAAAGAGCTTTTGATACAAGATAATACAACTTACCACCGATCTCGGCAACCAGAATAGTGTATGACACGATAGGTCCGTTGCTCTCATCGAAAAGACCATACCATAAATTCAATGTGATTGATGTATGCGTGGAACTCTTGAACAATTGATGACGCAATGTGTGTGGACTAACACCAGGTACAAGTGGTGGGTATACTGGCATTGTTAGACTATGTGGTGTCGATGATGTAGCGTTACTTCGTCCTTGAATATTTTCAGCCTGGATCTATAGATAGAGGATTTCAAAAAAAAATCAAGGTTTAACTGATTTTTTGTTTGCTCAAACATTATTATTCAGATCGATTTGCGTTCGATATATTTAGAATACATGCTTCCAGCCTTTGTTGTGTTATTAACCACTTGCATTCGAGCTCGTCGCCCCATGTTAAGAAATAACCCGTAAAAGGTAATCGACAATCATGGACGTATATAGGTATTACGAATTTTACATTATTTATCTTACAACAATACGACTAAAAACGGTGGGGTCTTGACTTACTGAGAATGTATACGTATAGCCAGGTTTAAAACCGGTTATTTTTTGATCCGTGTATACATCTTTGGAAGCGTCTGCAATTATTAATGTCGTGTCTGGGGAGTGAGTTATGGCATTCTAAAAGAAAAAAAAACACTATTAACATAATATGTCAAATCGATCTACTGACAGTTAATATCGTTTCAACAATGATGTGTTAATTGCATTAGTACAGACGTGGGGCTAAAAGTGTATTGATATTTCTTGTCCAGTACTCTTATATATTCGAACTATAAAATATATTGTCACTCCTTGTATAAAGTATGTTGCGAAGATTCAACAATAAGTCAATAATGACATTAGGAAGTTTCTTTTTCAAAATTATATTACCTCAATTATTCCTAAAAACGTTACGATGTACGTTTCCAGAACACCATTAGGTTCCACAGGTGATCTGAATGATGCAACTACAGTGAAGGGATGCTGATAGGAAACCTCGAAGTGACGAACCGGACCAGGAACTGTTGTATAAATTATTTAACATACTATTGAGTAGTAATAGTTAGCATTGTGAAAAATGTATGAGCACAGTGCGAGTAAGCAAAGTGTTCGTAGAATAAATACATTTCTGCCTTGACTGGAATACAGTGCCCTTCAAATAGTGAAGATTGTTTCCATGACACCATCATTGTGGGAAAGTCAATGAGTGTTATTTACCCGAAGCAAATAGTTTGAATATATACTCACTGTCGCCAAATGTTCTCTGCTCAAACGTAGAAGCGAGACTTTTAAGATCGCTTTTGATTGAGCAAACAGTTATGAGATATTTTACAAATATTTGCAAGTTCGTGAACGTATATGTACTGCTATCTGATATCGTATCGGTGAAAGTTCTTGCACCAACATCATCATATTCTCGAATGCTAACTTCATAGATCTCCGTTCCAGTTAGTCCTTCCGACCAAATCACGGTTATTTCTGTCCTGGTCACCTCAACCACACGGATTTGACCAGGTCCATATGGTCCTACATGTGCATATGATAAAAAATATATCAACATAAGTTTATTGCCTAGTAGATTAACGTTAGTATCATGCACATCTATCACCAAGAGTGGTAGTTCACGGTTCCTCTAGATAGAAAATAATTCACTTCATCTAAGTGGGTTGACTAATACTAGTAAAATTATTTTGTTTGTCCGTCAATATACCGCTTCATTTATTCCAGTGATTTAGAGTTATTGATTCAATTTTTATTTTCAGTTTGTTGAATTGTTAAATTATCACCTTACGTATATATTATTAATATAATTTGTTATTTGACAATTGTATATCTTACTTAAATTCACTGCCATTGACGTAACTGGTGTACTTTGTAGACCTCCACTGTACGCCATGATAGTAAATGTATACGTTGGTTCATTCATCAAACCAACAATATCTTTAGACGTTTCTAATGGCGACGCCGATATCCAAGGCTCCGAAGCCGTTGTGTACGGACGGTACGTGATGACGTACTCATCCACATCGCCTGTAGATGGTTGCCATGACACCTTTGCATAGGTAGGACCAATGTCATCGAGGTCGACTGTGATACTCTGTGGTGGTGTTGGAACTGGGAAGCGAGCATATATATTCTTTTATTAGATAATTGTCGATTATTGATGACAATTTGTATCTAAAAATCAACAAATCTATGCATTCCAACCAATATTTTGTTGAGAATAAGTGTCTATAGATTAAAACGGGGGTGTCGTCACCTGCGCATGAGTCAGATGGCCATAGCGTTTACAAACAAACGTCTACCCATGAGCCTTTGCGTTTTTAGCGTGTGTTGTTTTCGCCGCTTGGGACTCAATTCCCGCGCCTGCGCAGGTAACGACCCTCCCTCTTTAATTAGTTCAATAACATTAGTGGGTAGAAGCCTAGTCATAATTTCTGACAAAATTGGTCATAAATCGCATGACAATGTCATAGTTTAATATGTACAATCGTGAAGCTAATGTCCCATGGTACAGTGAAATAGCATTATTTTGTGTGTTACAGTTAAGCTTTTTGAGAAACGTGTCCTAATATTTCTTGAAAATTACTATTTTTAGAACAATTCCATAGAACACAATGTTAAAGAAAAATTGCATTTTTTGACACTTTTTAAAACCCTGATTTTTTAAATAATTCGGAACAACAAAATGTACTCCATCATTAACAATATATGATTTTTTCAGCCTATGTCACCAGGCTAGATTTTGAGATATTGCATAATATCTCTGCCATAGGAACCTGTGGTAAAAGTGTTATAATAGTGTCAAAATGGCGACTTTAATTTCCACTAAAATACAACCATCAATTTCTCGAAAAAAAGGCTGGTGACCCCCAACTTTTTTTAGGTAAATCTATTTCAAAATGAATAAATTCTGTGTTTTTTTAATTTATGAGTAGGCTTCTACCTTAAATAACATCATATGCTACATATATACATATAGCTGATCTATACGAAACAAGATCACTCACTCGTTCGCTGTACAACAGTTGTAGGAACACTATTAATCTCCCTGTCTCTAGCCAGCACAACAGTTTTCAGATCAATGTCATACTCTCTGCCAGGTCTGAGATCTCTGAGAGTGTAAGCTAAATCGGTGTTGCCGACATCAAATTCGGCAACTCCATCATCACGTGGAGGATCTAAAGTAACTATATACCGGTCAATGTTCACACTAACTGGTTGCAACCAAGACAAATCTATAGAGGTCGTATCATAGTCTGTGATTAGAACATCCCTTGGAGGTGGTGCCACTGTGGTTGAGAAATAATTGAAATCAATAATCAGATACATTTATACAATCATGCACATTAAAAAGGGTACTTGGGACGGGTATACCGTTGCATGCCTGTGTTGCATTTCACATTTGTTGAATCACCTGTAGAACCAAGAAAATATTTCGATATTTTTTTCTACCATAAACCTTCATGCTTTATGATTAGAGATTCAGAACTTACTAGTGTACACGTTTGTTTGTCGAGCTTCACTGAGCAGTTGACCGGCAGTCGTTTTAATGGCGATGCTATACTCAGTGACGGGTGTCAGACCAGTAAGTGTGTATTCAGTTCCCAATACATAGGTCGGTGAGTTGTCGATTCCGTTATCGGGAATGTAAGTGATTTCATAGAGATCAGCAATACCAGCTGCTTCAGACCACGAGATATAAATTCGATTAACGGTGACGGAGGTGACGACGATCGGGCCGGGTCGTTCGGGTTCTATAAAAAAAACAATTAAAAGAAAAATGGAGCTGTCAATAAGAGATCGTTTCTGAAGCGTATTTTCTAGACTGTTATGTGAATTAATGTTTTAAGATTTAAGATTTGAATTAAGATTTGTGCTAATTTGAATACAAATGTACTTAAATCTTTAGTTTCCAATGTCGATCGTTTCAACTTTCATTTGATTGTTTTCATGAAAAGACATGGTTTTATACATACAAGGAAATGTCTGTATCACCACACACATCCTTTTGGATTCATATGTATTTTTAACATATGGCTAACGGTGGTATTCAAATAATGAACGATCAGAACATGTAGATATTTCGTTTACATGCCTTGTATACGTCGCATATGAAAAATGAAGCAACACGACGACCACCAGCCTGTATTATGAATCAGCGCCTGCATATTGCACTTGTAGTTTGAATTTATTAGTATCGCGTATTTCTAGTTGATATCACACTGAAAGTTTTGAATTTTAATTCACGGCCCACATTTGTCACATACAACTGAAATTAAGGCAGTGGATCCCATTCACTCACAAATATTGGCAGAAAATCACGTCACAGAGAGTCACGTTTTTCAATTTTAAACATTCAGTA